AAGTACGCTTATGATTTGTATCAAAACCCTAAACCATCAAAGGGACACAGAAGGCCGAGCTCAGCGCGGTCAGGATGCTCCAGCGCCAAGACACGAGTCGCCTCAGCGAAAAGCCACACAGCAGATACTGCTAAACCCGAGATTGGTTTAGGGTGGTTTAGGGTTTAGGGCCAAGTTTAGGGTTTAGGATTTAGGGTTGCGGGTTTAGCGTGCTTCTCTTCCTCATCGTCGTCATCATCATCATCACCATCATGATCATCATGAGCCTGGTCATCATCATCATCATCGTCATCATCACCCTCATCATCATCATCATCATCATCATCATGAGCATGGTCATCATCAACAGCATCGTAATAATCAGCGGCAGCAGCATCATGAGTTAGAAGCAGCAGTGGCAGTTGCCGTCGTCTTAGTCGTCCTTGCAATGAGTCGTGGTCGTCGTCATCGTCGTAGTTGGAATTAACGAGGTTAGCTGATGAAAAGTCGTGTGGTCGTTGTGGTTGCCGTTCTCTTGTTCTTATTCTCCCCTAAACTTAAACCCTCAACCTTAAACCCTGAACCAAACCCAACACCTTAAACCCTAAACCTTAAACCCTAAACCTTAGACCCGACACCCCAAGCTTCCAGCTCCTCCTCCTTCTCTGGGCACTTGGTTCAAGCTTGTGCATGTTTAGGGTTTAGGGTTTAGGCTGTTGTACTTCCCCCCCCCCCCCGTGTGCATGGTTTAGCGTTCAGTTTTTTTAGGGTTTAGGGTGGTTTAGGGTTTAGCGTGTTGTACTTCCCCCCGCCCCCAAGTGCGCAGGGTTTAGGATTTAGGTATCAGGGCCTGAACGGGTTTAGTTGAGCGTTCCCTGCAGCTTCAAGCATTCCAACTTTCTGAATGGTGGATGTTCCCAGAGACTCCAAAACCCCTTAATTAAGGAATATACCTTAAATTACAATAGGATCCCTAATATGATGTAAGGTATATTCCTTAATTAAGGGGCTTTGGAGTCTCTGGGTTCCTGCTATAGAACATCAGCTCTGAACATGAAGGCTGTATTGTTAGTAATGTTACACTTCCCTACACCTTGAGCTTAGGTTTGTCCCGCCACCTCAACACGGTTTAGGGTTTAGGGTTTAGGGCACCTTAATGGCTCGAAAAGAAAACATGAAAGCTTAATATCATCATAAGCTGAGTCTGCAGCAGCTGCAGCGCAGGAGGCATCACCGATCTCCTTCTTGTGCTGCTTGGGCAGACATCTAGATACCTAGACCCTTCGATTGAAGTAGCCGGGGTTGCCGCAACGGCTGGTGATGTTACAGGTCCTAGTCCTAGTTGGTTAGTTTAACACGGCCTTGTCGGGTCCAGATAACCCGAATTAGAGCATCCAGGCGATTGTCATCACAATGATGCACTGGCCTGCCGACCCCACTTCAGAAAACCCTGAAATTGCAATCTTTTTTTTGGAACTATTGGGCGCATGGTCGCGTTGCTGAGTTTGTTACTTTTTGGGCCGTGGTTTCTGTTGCCCTTAGCACGAAACTCCAAACCCTAGTAGGCCGAGAATCCCAGAAACCCATACAGTAATGCCCGAAGCCCTGGAAGCCCTGGAATTAAACCCTAAACTCCTAAACTCTAAACCCTAAGCCCTAAACTCCTAAACCCTAAAAACGCCTTATTTTCAATACTCGAACATCCCTGCACGCTCCAGCTCGAAGCCCCGCACCCCTTAACTCGAAAGGATTTCTCAGTTGTACATGTGGGCACCCTAAACCCGGAACCCTAAACATAAACCCCTAGGCCCTAAGCCCTAAACCCTAAACATAAACCCCTAATCCCCTAAACCCTAAACGTAAACCCCATAAACCCCTAACCCCTAACCCCTAAACCCCATAAACCCCTAACCCTTAACCCCTAAACCCTAAACCCTAAACTTAAGCCCCTACAACCTAAATCCCTAAACCCCCAAAACCCTAAGACCCTAAACCCTAAACTGGAACCCCTGAACCCTAAATCCCTAAACCCCCCAAAACCCGAAGACCCTAAACTGGTCAGGGTGTCTCGGTTCTACGTGGGGGAGCCATCGGGTCCTCTGGCCGACGACTGCAGCGAAACACAGTGTCTCGGCTCTAATTTTAGGGGCCCAGGGTTTAGGGTTTAGGGTTTCGGGGGCCTACATGTTGAGGGTTCAGGGTTTGGGGTTTTAGGGTTTAGGGTTGAGGAAGTATCTACCTGTACTGTTTTGGGCTGGTTCCTGATGATAATTATATTCTGATGGGCCCCCCAACCCTATTCTGATTATTAAGGCTCCTATATTAAACCTCGGGTTTAGGGTTGAGGGGTATACTCTTTTAGGTTGTTGGGCTACATGGATGTGCAGTTCAGGGTTAAACTTTGGGGGATTTGCACGTCCGGTGCTATTGAGCACAGCTTTTTTGAAGAGAAACAAGATGGTGGCCCGAGTAAGTAGTAGCAACATCCTTTCAAGTATCTTATAGTCCATTGTAGTCTTACCGTCTAACATAGAGTTCCTGCTATAAAACCCTAGACCCTAAACCCTAAACTTTAACCTAAAACCCTTTAACCGTGCTACAGCAGAGTATACCGCAAAACCCTAAACCACAATCGACTTCAAGAGGCTCCCCTTAGTAGTTTGTTTAGAGCCGTTAGATCTGCGGCGACGAGGCAACATGGCGTGGGGTGATGGCTTGCAGCTTCCGATTGTTTAGGGGTTCAGGGCTTAGGGTAAACCCTAAACCCTAAACCCTGAACCCTAAACCTTAGGGTTGCAATTGGTTGACGGTTTGGGGCTTATAAGAATCAACCCTAAGGGTCCAAAGGACCCAATAGTTAGATACATAGGTTTCGGATAGTGATCATGTAGGTTACTATTTGGGAGAGTATATGATAATTAGGGACTTGGACCCGAAACCCTAAATCCTAAAACGTGGCCCTAAGAGCAATATCAGTCAGCAGCATGAATGCTGAGACCTTCAGAGGGAGCCCCCTCAGCCCTTCCTTTCAAGGGTCATCATAACTTGGACCTTCGCCGTGTCCTAGGTAAGCCCAAACCCACCCTCTTTGTTCCCAGAGGACCCAATACCCCTTAATTAAGGCAAGGAATATACCTTCAACTATAATATTAAGGCCCCTAAAATTTAAGGTATATGCCTTAATTAAGGGGTATTGGGTTCTCTGGGTTACTGGACCGTTAAGGTATCCTGAGCCCCTAAACCCTAAACCCTAAACCCCTACATCCGAGACCTTGTGGGACGTTTGCGGTGCAGCTCCCTATGGGGTGCGCTCTGTGTCTGCCTGCTCTGACACCCTAAAAACTAAACCCTAAACCCCTTTTAGGGTTTAGGGTTAAGGGAACTTAAACCCTCATGTATCGAAGCAGTCAACCCGGCTGACTCCGAGGTTCTTGCACTATCCGGTCTCTGCGCATCTGGGACCTTCCGGATTCAGAAGGGTTTTGGGTTTTGGAGGCTATAGGGCTTCTGGTGTTCAAGGGTTTGGGGCTTGAAACTGTTCTAGTTTTTATGTCTGCAATTCTCGTATTGGGCTTTCCGATGATCAATGCAGACTGGTCATAGTAGGGGCACTGTGCTACTTCAAGGGGATTTTAATAAGAGCCCAAACGTTAAACCCGCAACCCCGAAACCCTCAACCCTACCTATTGCATTTAACAAAAACCCTACCCCTACCTGTAGTAGTCTCCATTGTAGTTTTTTTTTTT